TGCCAGGACCTTAGAAAGGGACATCTGGTGGTGATGTGGTATGTGCCAGCAGTGGATTGGGGTAGGTGGGAACTTATTTCCTCGAATTTTCTTGTCCCACACCATGCTTCTTTGAAGCCTGAGGAGCTGGTAAGGAGACCAGACGTAGACAGGAAGTATAAGCAGAAGAAGGGTCTAGGAGGAGAGAAGGACTGAGCCTCCACACCTGTGTCTGACTCCATGGTGTCTTTTGGGCACTAGCTATAGCTTTCAGCCTGGCCAGCGAAGGGTAGCAGAGGCTCAGACGCTGAGGTGACCCCTGCCTACAACTGTGTGTGCACATGTGCGATGGGTGTGATATGGGTGTTGAGTGTGTGTTCTCAGGGCCTCCAAACCTGGTCTTCTCGCTAAGACTGGTGGGTAAGTTCCCCAAAGTCTTTCAGGAAGGCCAAGAACCCCCTCTTGCCTAGGGTCCTCGCTAGTTCCCATGGCCACCACTAGAGGGCAGCAGCCAACAGGAGCAGGCCCGCGGAATTTTGCCATCTCTCTCTGTTCTCCCCAGTTTTAACCGGATATAGCCTGACCTTCCTAGTCCCCAGAAGTGGTCAGTGAGGTTACAAATTCAACTAAATGCCCATCACAGACATGAGCACAGTGAAATATGTGGGAGTGTGAGACGATGAGTTAGGGAAGCTGCTGGAGAGGACCAGAGATAATCAAAGGTAGAAGTGTATTCATTACTCACTACAAGGATGATGGTAGAGGGAGAGGAGGAAAAGCCCAGGGGACCATGGAGATAAAGCCTGCATGGAGATAAAGCAGGACTCAGTCCACTTGCCAAAAGGCATGTGATGAGCAGATAGGCAGTCACCCTGATTGCAAAAGCCAACAACTTGAAGGGAAAATCCTGTGGTTTCTGGAGCCAGGCTGGCCAAGTATTAGCAGTGTGATTTTGGAAAAGGTATTGAGCCTCTCTCTACTTTGGTTTCTTACCTTTGAGATGGATAAAATAATAGTTCTATCTCTTACACTAGACGTGAGCGTTAAATAGGTTAATTCATCCGAATCATTTGGAACAGTGGCTGGCATAGAGTAAGAACATTATAATTGTCCCAGTCCCCCCCAAAAGAACACTATAATTGCTCAAACTTACTGTCTTCTGTCCTTGATTTTAGCCAAAGGGCAAAGAGCAATTTGGTTATCTATTCCCGAGGAAAAGATCCATATGATATTGAAATGTTTAGCTTCCCCAAAATTCCCATCATAAGCTCTGCAGTATAGGAATTGGTCCCCACACATGCAGGCATTGAATGGTCATATATGAGCCAGTGACACATACCTGTAATCTCAGCTACTTGGGAAGCCTGACGCAGAAGGACCACAAGTTCAAGTCCAGCCTGAACAATTTAGTGATATCCTCTCTCAAAATTAAAAAAAAAAATCTTTTTAAAAAGGTTGGAGATGTTGCTCAGTTGTAGAGTACTGTGGGTTAGATCTCTAGTACCACAAAACAACATATGAATGCACCCGTTAGTAAAAGTTAAAGGAGTTTAGAGTTAAAAGTTAAAGAACATTGGAATGAGTACAGGTAAGTACAAGAGTCTGTCTATATTCCAATCTACAGTCTGGCCAGTTGCCTTTGAATCTACAAATCTGATCACTCTTGAAATGAGTTCCTCAAATTAAACATGGGCACCCCCTGCTCCCTTCAAAGTGCTGCCTGGGCTCGCCCTCTCCACCCTGATAACAGCTGGCTATAGTCCCAGGAGCTTCCTGAGCCTTGTCCGGTCCTACTGAGCTGTGTGGATCAGATGAGGCAGTGGCTTTCCCTTCTCATTGACTGCTCCTCAGGACTCTCATGAAATAGCAGCTTCTATCTTCTTGCTCTTACAGAAATTCCAATCCTCAGCTTGCCTCCCGAAGGCCAGTTTTGGCTCTAAAGCTGTGGGAAGTGAAAATGTCCAGCCCTGGAATAGCAGTGCTGGCTGGCTGGGTTTATGGTGAAACACCTAGCCTTTTGGCACCTTAAATTTTTTTTTTATTGATAAGTCTGGTTGGGGGTACTTTTATGTTTCCTCTCTCTTTGGAAAAATACTTAACAAAAAGACTAAGAGTTTGCTGTTGCCAGGCTTGGTGGTGCACACCTACGATTCCAGCACAATTTAGTAAATTTGCAAGACCCTGTCTAAGAAAAAAGTGTGGGGTTTCTGAGCATGTAAATTAGTACAAAAGCCCTGGGTTGAATCCCCAGTACTGAAGAAAGAAAAGAGTTTACTGTTTCTTTATTTACCAATGCTTCTGTGCCTCAAATACAAGCCACCTAGTAGAAAGTTCTGAGCATGTAGTTCTCCAGTTGTCCAATCAGGGATGACTACGTCACATGATCCAAGATTGCCCTCTTACCTTTGAGGCACCAGACAGTGGTTTTTCTCACAAAGTGACTGTATAGTGACAGGAAAGCTGAGGCATCTCAGCACATCCAGCACACTATGAACACTTTAATTTTAAACTTTATTTATGACTAGGTAATACAGTTTCATAGTTCAATGTTTTAAGGATATAAAAATGCATACAGTGGGAATTCATTCTCCTACTTCTTAAACTTTGACCCTTTTCCTCCAAATAAGCAAGCTATGTTACCATATCTGGGTTTTTTGGTGCTGGGAATCAAACCCAGGGATCATGTGTGCTAGGCAAATGCTCTAATAGCCAACATTAGACCCCCCACCAGCCCTAATATTTTCTAATGTATCCTTCCAGAGATATTTTATGCAAAGAAATATATACAGATTCTTTCCTCCCATCCTTTGGCTTTAATCAAAAGTAGTCCTATATGAGTATACATAGAACATCTTCATATGTTTTTGTGTTCATGTATTTTTCATATACCAAAATATACTTAACCCATTTCTGATTAATTAACATTTTAGGTTGTATTAGTCTCTCATAGAGCTGAAATGCATAGGTTTGTAAATAAATAAAAGTTTGTTTTGTTTTGTTTTTTTTCAGTACCAGGGATCAAACCCAGGACCTTGCTCTTGTGAGGCAGGAGGCAATGCCACTGAGCTATAACCCCAGCCCATGAAAGATCTTTTAAGGCTCTACTGTCCTTATACATGTCCCTCGGGACTTACTAACTGGGGGTCTAGAGATGCTTTAGAAGTCATCAGATATAGAATTCAGGAGACAGATTTGAGGAACCTGGAAACTTGGAAGGGAAAAAGTTTTCATCTTTATGTACACTAACCTCTACCTGGAATAAAACAATTCTTTCTATAAAAAATGGAGGCAACACTTCAGTTAGAAGTATTTGCAACTTTCTTAATCATGTGATTGAAGATATCTTGAAACATCAGTTACACTCATCCCTACCTTGTCACTGTGGAAGTTATTAGATTTTTCTATTAGATTTAACTATGTTATGTATTAATATAGAAGCACACATATTTTGGTGGCACACATTTGTTTTTGTGAAAAACTTTTATACTTACATTTCAATGTAAATTCTTTACTTTATAAGTAAATCCTTTTTTGAATATATTTAGTAAATTATACATAACACAAAACTTATCATTTTAGAGTTCAGTGGCAGTAAGTGCATTCATTTTGTTCCGCAACATCACCACCACTCATCTCCATTTTATCTTACTAAATTGAAACTCTGTATCCACTAAGCAATAATTTCTCATTAGTCACTGTCTCCAACCCTGGGCAACCATCATTCCACTTTCTGTATTTATAATTTTGATGACTTCAGATACCTCATATGAGTGGATCTATATAGAATTTGACTTATTTATTCAGCATAATTTCTTCATGTTTCATCCTTCAAGTTATTGTCTTTTTCACTTAATAGAATACCTTCAAGGTTCATCCATGTTGTAGCGTGTATCATATTTTATTTTTAAGGATGAATAATATTTCACTGTATTTATATGCCACATTGTGTTTATTCTGTCATCTGTCCATAAACATTTGTGTTGTTTCCACCTTTTTGTCCATTGTGAATAATGCTGCTATGAACATTGTTGTGCAAATGCTGTTGCTTACAGGTATATACCCACAGTGGAATTGCTGGATTGTATGGTAATCTTATGATTTTAAAAATAAAATAAATTTTTAATTTAATTTTTAATAATTTATTTTATGCATAAAAATATGATGCTGAGAGAAATATACCGTTACAAAAAATACCGTTACACGCGCTTTTAAAAAATGCATGTCCTGGCCACTAGATGGGGGACTTCTTAACAAGGGCTGCGTCTTTGCTTGTGCTCCTGTTAACTCTCCCAGAGGAGAAGTAAGTGCAGTCAGCGCCTAGTGGGCTCCCTGCGAACCCCGCACCGAGTAGAGTGCAAGAAACATAACGGTGTAGAAGATACCCTAAAAAGAACTCAGCCTAGAAGGACACCTTCAGGACAGCCTGAAGGTGATCAGTTAAAGGCATCCCAACTCCTGAATGCTTGGCTTTTTAGATGTGTGATAGCCCGTGGCCCCAGCTTCCGATTCAGAAAATGATCGCTACCTGACCAATTTCCACCATAAAGAAAGCCTGGCCCTTAGCACAGCTCACGGCACATGATAGGCACTAATGATAGGTACCTGAGACAGCAAGAGAAAGCCTAATGTAAACCTATACTCCAAGCCACTGTAAGGATGCCTCGTTTTCGTCTCTGCTGACCGTCCTCTGTCCTGCGGGCTGCAGCTGCCCGCCGTCCCCTCGGTGGAACTAGGAGCTGGGACCTCCACGCCGGCAGATGGCGCTAGTGCGCACGTGGCCTGGAGCGGCGCTCGGGCCGGGCTCCTCTCGGCGGCGCAGCGCTTTCGTCCG